ACTCTCGAGCCTAGGGACTTCTCGGCGTTGTTTCAGCTCGCCAGTCTCTTGTACGAAGGCCCTTGGGTTGCTGAGCGCTATGCTGCGATCAAGGACTTCATCAAAACGCACGAGAATGACATGGACCCTATCGTTAGGGAAATCATCTTCAAGGCCAAGGACTTCAACGCCGTAGACCTCTTCGAGTCGGAGTATCTTCGTCAGGATCTAACTCGCAAGATTCATGGTGCGTTTGATGAGTTCGACGCGATTCTGGTGCCGACTGCGCCTACCTTCCCAACTCTTGAGGACCTTGTCCGAGAGCCGATCAAGGAGAACGCCAACCTTGGCACTTATACCAACTTCGTCAATTTCATGGACTGGACTGCCCTTTCTATCCCTGCGGGCTTCCGATCGGATGGTTTGCCATTTGGCATCACGCTGATTTCTTCCACGTGGGAGGAGCCCAAATTACTCGCTTTCGCCCGCGAGTGGCTTTCCACGGCACCTCGCCTTCTCGGGGCAACCAAGATTGAAAGGCTTGAGAAGCTCAAATCCGACGCTGTCGCCGCGGGCGGGCTGAAGACAACTCGTCTTGTGGTGGTAGGTGCTCACTTGGAGGGTTTTCCTTTAAACAAAGACCTGACGTCTCGAGGAGCGACACTAGAGACGGTGACGACGACTTCCTCCAACTACAAGTTCTACTCTCTCAATACCGACGGGAAAGTGAGGAAACCAGGCCTCAGACGTGTTCCCGTCGGCGGAAGTGCCATCCAAGTTGAGGTCTGGAATTTACCGACCGCGGAAATGGCCAGTTTCATGAAGACCGTGTCTTCGCCCCTTGGCATTGGCTCAGTGGAGCTGTTGGACGGAAGCTGGGCCCCTGGGTTTGTCTGCGAACCCTATGGTCTGGATGGTGCCACCGACATCACCTCATTCGGAGGTTGGCGTGCTTTCATCCAGTCGCTCGACCGCCCCAAGTTCAACGTAGCCAATCCTATTCCAGTCACTCAACAAATCAGCGGAATAAAGTCTGTTCTTATTGCCAACCGTGGCGAGATTGCCATCCGAATTGTTCATACACTGCACCGCTTAGGCCTGAAGGCTATCGCGATCTACTCATCTTCTGATGCTCGTTCCCCACACGTCCGCCATGCAGACGTCTCGCTTCTCCTCGAAGGCTCTTCTGTCTCGGACACTTACCTGAACGGCCCGCAAATCATCCGGCTTGCGAAGACTGCTGGCGCAGATGCAATCATTCCTGGGTATGGCTTTCTGGCAGAGAACGCCGACTTCGCCTCTGCCGTCGAAGCTGAAGGTATGATCTGGGTCGGCCCTGCGCCTGACCAGATGCGACAGCTGGGTTTGAAGCACCTCGCTCGCGATGTCGCGATTGCTGCCGGAGTTCCTGTCGTACCGGGTAGCAAACACCTCTTAACTAGTGCTGAAGACGCTTTGGCTGAAGCCATGCACATTCGCTACCCGGTGATGCTCAAGAGTACTGCTGGTGGCGGGGGAATCGGTCTAAAGCGCTGCAACAAGCCTTCGTCACTTCTAGAAGCGTTCAAGAGCGTCCAAAGGTTGGCGAAAGCCAACTTTGGTGATGCAGGCGTTTTCATCGAGCACTTCATCAAGAATGCGCGTCACATCGAGGTGCAAATCGTTGGCGATGGTAAGGGCAATGTTGTTGCGGCCGGGGAGCGCGATTGCTCACTGCAACGACGAAACCAAAAGGTCATCGAAGAGAGCCCGGCTATCTTTGTACCGGTTGATGTGAGAGCGAGAATGCGCAAGGCAGCCGTTGACCTCGCCTCGGCCGTGCAGTACCGCAACGTGGGCACGATCGAGTTTATCTTCGATGTTGATAGCACGGAGTTCTACTTCCTCGAGGTCAACACTCGGCTCCAGGTTGAGCACCCTGTCACAGAGTCTGTGACCGGACTTGACTTGGTTGAGTGTATGATTCGTGTAGCATCCGGGGACATTGGGAGCATCTTTGAGAATGGACACGAGGGCTTCAAGGTGAAGGGACATTCCATCGAGGCGCGTGTCTACGCTGAGAGCCCCCTCCAGAATTTCAGGCCCTCCCCAGGCCGGTTGCTGGATGTATCCTTCTCCGATGAGGTGCGGGTTGACACTTGGGTTGACGCCGGCACAGAGATGTCATCATCCTATGACCCTCTCATTGCCAAGATAATCGCAACCGGCGAGAGCCGAGCGGAGGCTATCACGCAACTGGCTACTGCCCTGGACAATACCGTGATCACGGGAGTGGAGACCAACCTGGAGTATCTTCGCGATATCGTCGACTCCGAGTTTTTCAACTCTGGCGACTTCACGACGACGTCACTAAACAACTTCGACTACGACCCGCTCGTGGTAGAAGTCATCGATCCCGGCACCTTGACCACTGTTCAAGACTACCCCGGCCGCAAGGGGCTGTGGCACGTTGGGATTCCGCCATCTGGCCCCTTTGATGACTATTCTTTTAGGCTCGCCAATAAGCTAGTAGGGAATGATTCTCGGGCCGCTAGTCTGGAGTGTACCTTTCAGGGGCCCAGCCTCCTATTCCACTCCGGTGGCGTGATTGCAGTCACCGGTGCGCCTGTGGAGATCCTCGTGGACAACGAGCCTTACTACCAGGAACAGGCTCTCGATATTCGTGCGGGGCAGACGCTCTCCATTGGTGCGCCGAAAGCTGGCTACCGCACTTACATTGCTTTCCGAGGTGGACTGCCCGTCCCAGAGATATTTGGCTCTCGCTCTACGTTCGCGTTGGGACGAATAGGGGGTCACAATGGTCGAGCTCTTCGTGCGGGGGACCTGCTGCCCACAGGAGGAGGTGTGGTGTCAGAAAAGGTCTCAGACTTTGTCAGTCCCGAACTTCCTCTGCCAACGGGGCCGAACGGGATTTGGACGCTTGGGGTTATCCCAGGGCAGCACTCAGCACCTGAGCACTTTACCGAAGAGGGCCTCAACACACTTTTCAACGGAGAGTGGACTGTTCATTACAATAGCAACCGGGTCGGTATTCGTCTTGACGGACCCAAGCCGCGATGGGCTCGGCAGACCGGGGGTGACGCCGGACTACACCCATCCAATATCCACGACAGTCCCTACTCTGTCGGCAGCATCAGCTTCACCGGGGACGAGGCCGTTATTCTCACTTGCGACGGCCCAAGTCTAGGCGGCTTCGTGGTCTTTTGTGTCGTTGCTTCGGCTGAGATGTGGAAGTTGGGACAGCTGCGCCCAGGCGATAAGGTTAAGCTCAGGCCCATCAGTGTTGACGATGCGTTGGCACTGGAAGCCGCTCTTGAGGATTCCATCGCCAATCTCAAGCCGTTAGAGTCTACTTTGCCTTCCAAGAACGACATCCCCATTCCAGCTGGGCTGAACCCTCTCCTCGGCAACATAGGCACCGCCGGCCGCCATATCTCTGTTCGCCAAGCAGGTGACTCGTCAGTTCTCCTAGAATTTGGGATAGAGGACGTCTTTTCCCTCCGTCAGTCCTTCCAAATCTTTTCCTTCATCGACCGCCACAAGCAGGCCCCAATCCCGAACGTTCTCGACCTCTCCCCTGGTGTTCGCACTCTCCACATTCAGTACACACCAGGCACGACCCCCTCAGAAATCCTTTCCGCCCTCCGATCTCACGAAACCTCCTTGGGCACCGCAGTCCCCTCTTCCCTCCCGTCGCGCACAATAAGCCTCCCGCTCGCCTTCGACGACTCCGTCTCTAGCGCCGCAGTAGCCCGCTACGCTGCCACGATCCGCGCAACCGCCCCATGGCTACCCAGTAACATCGACTTCCTCCAGAAACTCAACGCTCTGGGGTCCCGCAAGGATGTCGAGCGCATCTTCCTCGACGCAACGTTCCTCGTTCTCGGCCTTGGTGACGTCTTCCTCGGAGCACCTTGCGCTGTGCCGCTGGACCCACGCCACCGCCTCTTCGGCACAAAATACAACCCCTCCCGCTCCTTCACACCCCGCGGCGCCGTCGGCATTGGAGGGCAGTACATGTGCATCTACGGCATGGACTCCCCCGGCGGCTACCAGCTCGTCGGCCGCACGGTGCCCATCTGGAACGACGTAGCCGCCTCGGCCGCCTCACAAAACATCCAGCCCTGGCTCTTCCGCCTCTTCGACCGGATCTCTTTCTACAGCATCTCTGAATCGGAGCTCGACGCTGCCATAGCACAGGGGAAAATGACAGACTTGATCAAAATTCAAGAGGGAAGCCTCGATCTCCACGCTTACGAAGCCTGGCTCGAAGAGAACAAGGACGACATCGAAGCCACCCGCGCCGCGCGCGCCGAGGCCATCCGGACAGTGCCGTTCATGGAGGAACTTCTCCAGCCATACCACCCCCCTGAGACTGAGCGTCGCCCCGTCGAGGAAGAGGATGTTGCCGGGGAGAGGGTAAAGAGCCAGATGCCAGGTCGATGCTGGAAGTGCGAGGTCAATGTCGGCGATGAGGTGGAAGTCGGGGACGCGCTGGTATGGATCGAGTCCAACAAGATGGAGATCAAGATTGAGAGTCCTGTGACGGGCACGGTGGCCAAGATGTTGGTTGCCGAGGGGGACATTGTTGGGCCGTATGACGACTTGCTAATTATCGAGACGGAGTAGACCGTTCTTTGGTATGCCTGCGATTTCTTTGACATCTCTGAGCGTTTATACCTTAGAAGCCTATTTCATAGAGTTGGACCAAGAAATGAGACCCCAAACCACTGTTTTCCAAAGAATGAGACACGCATATCAGAGCAACGAACACCCAATAAGAGCAATTTACAGTGTAAACGCCGCCTGTTTCGAGATTTTTGTAAAACCAGCTTCTGTCGAGCTTCTACAGTACACCATTTCGGTAGGTAATCCTAACAATAAACGTCCCCCTTTCGTCTCCGTGTTGTACAAACCGCGAGGACTCTATTCAAATGCGCCAAAGTTTCCCCGCGCTTCTCTATACCAACTTTGAAAACCACCACACACCCTCCTCCTCTTCCTTTCTAATAATACATATTTTACATGCACTTGGCCGGGCCGCTGTCGTCTGGATGTCACGTTAGCACTAACATTCTCGACAACAGAAAAAGACGGGAGGGCCAAAACTCACTGCTAATCATCTTGGCGACCGCCTGTATCAAGGTAATGACCATCACCACGGTGCCGAAGACGACGATGCCGCCCGCGACGTATGTCTTCCACGAGCGGGAGCTGAGCTTGATGTAGCACAGCGGCGGCAGGATGTACGCGATCGCGCACGCCGAGGTGGCGCCGACGAGCTCGAAGACGGCGCCGACGTCGCACGTCACCAGGCTCATGATCATGGCGGAGACGACCAGGCTAGAACTGAAAATGAGGTGCAGGTTCATGTTGAAGGGCTCGCCGGGGAAGAAGTAATTGAACATGACCTCTCTGCAGACGAAGGCCTCGAGGGGAAGGGTGGTCAGCATGTTGAGGCCGAAGCAGAGGCGCGCGATGGTGACCATAACATTGTCGGCGGGGAAATTGTTAAGGACGTTGCCGAGCGTCTTGTCGCCGAAGGTAAGGAAGCCGGCGAGGGCGACGATGAGGCAGGCGACCGTTGAGATGCCGACTGAGTAGTGCGTCACCCGCGAGAAGCGGTCTATGGTGGGAGTCTTGAGAGACCCGTAAATTAGGAGGGAGTTGTGGTGGCAGACAAAAGCTTCGCTTGTTAGTTTGGGGAGCGAAGAAGAGTAAGGGGGGCGGCGTACCGAATGAGATGACACCAATGGCCTCGAAAATGCCACTGTTCACAGTCAGGAGAGCAGGTGTAAATGAGCCCCGGTCCGCCTTGGGGGTCAGAGCTCCCTGGATCACGACCGTCGCTACGATCACGCCCATGCTGATGAGCGCGAGTGTGCTCGCCTTAGCCAGCTACAGAACTCAAGTCAGCGATGTGCCCATTTTCACTTGCGAGTTCCTCGGCGCTTACCTTGGCGATGTCCCGGTACAAAGTCAACGGATAACTTATGCCCAGCACAAAAACGACAATAACAACCTGCCTATTCGCCAAGAGACCCAACACGGGCATCTCCCTCAGATCCGGCCAAATGGCCGTCAAAACGTGCGGTATTGAGTCGCCCACGATGATGCCGAACGCCACCATTCCGCCAAAAGCAAACGCCCACTGCGCGACCGAGATGGCGATCAAGCCGGTCCGTCCGAAACAGTGCTCCACAGTCCCCTGAAAGCTGTTGCTCCCGGAAAGCTTGCTGTTGACCACAATCAAGCAGATCGTCCAGTCTACGACGATCGTGAGCCCCAACAGCAGTATGATCCCGCCCAGCATGCCCGCCTGCTTGAACGCGTACGGCTGCCCGATGATGCCGGCCCCGATGATGGAGTTCGCCATGTTCATGAAGGCCATCTTCAGCCCGGACTTGGGGCGGTTGAGCTCCGTCTCTGCCCACTCGTGTACATCCTCGCCCCACTGACTATTGGCGAGCGCAACGGAGGGCGCCTCGATGTCCGTCAGGAGAGGCAGGCGGTGGTGGTCGTCGTGGTCATCGTACCCCGGCGCGTGCTGAAAGATCTCGTCGTCGTCGACGTCGAAGCTGTCGCGGCTGGGGCGCGAGCCATTGCTGTTCGTCATCGAGGGCCGGGGCGGCGAGGGCTGAACGATGGAGGGGATGAGGTCGAAGCGGACGCGGTTCGGGGTGCGTGGCGTCCCCGGGGACCGGAGGGCTTGACGGAGTGGCGCGGCGGACTGTTGTTTCGGGGGTACGAAGTAGTCGTCGCGCGGGCCGGCGGAATGGCCGGCCTGGCGATCATGGTATTCGTGGGAGAGGGGGTCATCGGTGAGGAGGCTTCTATCCTCTTCGCTTGGGCCCGGAGCAGCGCCCGGATGGGAGTCGTCTCGGCGGGCTCCATGGTTACGGGCCTTGGCCATTGTAAGTTATTGCGCTGTCATTTTCCGGCGGGAAGGAAAGGAGGAAAAGAGGATGGACGGGGTTCGAAGGCGGCCTCGTCGTGTGTGTGCGTATGCGCCGTTCGTTCCTTGGTTTCGTGTTTTGCAATGGAGAGTCAAAGGTAGTGTTGAATGTGAGCTGCGAAACGTGGAAAGACGAGTGTAGAGCGAGCTTGGAGTCTGCCGTCTATTGTCGGTTCAGTCGACGTTGCTGCAAGCTGACCTCAACTCTCGAGTGGAGGTACGTACCTCCTTTACTTTTAGGGGACCGGGAGCTGTCAGCAGTCCGCGTACCCGGCGACAGGGGCGCGGCAGGCCAGGCCCCGCCCGCAGTGGAGAAGCTGGGCGCTGGAGAGTGGGAGTATCGAAAGGTATCACTTCGGCTACTCCTTGCCGGAAAGTTACATCAGTGGACTTGCCTAAACAGGCTAGGTGCCTTCACTCTTCACTTATCCCACACAGCGCTTCGGCGTAATGACGGTGAGCGACTTATCAGAGAAAAAAATTCCCACAAGGCCGTACGTACGGTATTGCGATAACAGCACAGCACAGCACAGCACCCGACCACACGCAGCCCAGGCCGAATCAGACGAGTCGCGACCTCTCAATCCCCGAAAGAGCCCCGGTGTTAACGGATTGCATTGGCTCTGTTGATAGTTGAGACACTCCTTCAGAGGTGGGAGAAGCAGCTGCTACAGCAGTCTTTGAAGCTGAGAGTCACTACATCGTCCGACTCACCAGCCAGCCTGGTCCAACGACCACTTGGCGAGGCTTGACTCTGCGACTTTCCAGAGTGAACCCCAAGAAGCCAGGGCCGTCGATCCCTTGCAGTTCCCAATTGGAGGTCACCTCAGTCTGATTGATCAGCCTCAATACCGTTGTAGCCCACACCACACCCTCCCAGGCGGTTGGTAGCGTTGGCGCAGAAAGGAGCCTCACCTCGGGCAGATACAGCCCGCAAAGTAGGAGGGAAAGTCGTCATCGGCAGCGGGGAAGAGGAGGGGAGGACCTGTGCTCCCTTTTTATTTCATTCTCATCATCACTCACTCTCATATGTGTGTCACCACTTTTACGTGAACCACAGACCACACACCCAAGGTCCTACTAATCACAATCGGCCTACCTTATCTCATCCTCTCACACACATACACACACAAACTCATCACTCACCTTATCTCATTCCACCCCCGCGCGCCGGCCCCTCGCCCGGTCCCGCCCGCCGAACGATGGACGCAACACCAGCGCCCTACGGCACCACCACACGAACTCCCACCCCCGCCTCCGCCTCCGCCGGCCCGGTTCCAACGACCATGCCGGCGCCCGCGCCGACGCCTGCTTCACATGAATCTCACCCTTTATCATCATCATCATCATCGGCGGCGGCGGCAGCAGCGGTAGCAGCAGCAGTGGCGTCGTCGGCAACAGGGGCACAAAGCCGCCCCTGCGACATATGCCGCCAACGCAAGACGCGTTGTGTTCGCGAAGAGGGCCGCGACAAGTGTGTCATGTGTTCCTTTCATGGCCAGCCCTGCACATATCTCCGCGGGCCGCTCCCGCGCAAGCGTCGAAAGGCCACAGATCCCCCGGAGGTGCGGCCCCAGACTAATGGGTCCGGCAATGCGGCCGCTGCTGGTCCTCCACCAGCTCCCATGCCGCTGGATCACCAGGAAGAGATAACGTAAGTCTCATTACAATTTTTCACTCTTGTCGTCTTTTCCTATCGTTGTTTTCTGCTTCTGTATGAACTGTATGAAGCTAGGCGCTCATGTCGCCAGTCTTGTATGAAGCTAGTCTTGAAGGGGCACGTCATTGTGCCCAGGTCTCGTGTCATGTCCTTCCTCTTTCGACCTTCACCACCTCTCTCATTCGCTCACCCCCCTCGAGTAACCTTCTAACCCGTGTCACAATAGACACCCTTCCCCGGAACTGCTCGAGGCTCTCTCTCCGTCACTAGCCGGCTCCGAGAACATTGCCCACTTCAGCCCTCAACCCTCCCTCTTAGACGGCACTCTGGGCCTACACCTCAAAACAAACTCCGAATACGTCGGCAACACATCATACCGTGAACCCTCCCTCCTAGACCTCCACCGGCCCTCAGACCCTTCCGTCCGCTCCGTCCGCCGGCTCGACGACTCAACAGTTTTCCTCATCCACCGCGACCGCGAGACCTCCTCGGAGCCCCAACGAATAGCCGACCTCGACGCCATCGAGAAGCTCGTCCATCCCCTCGGCTCGACCCTCGTCAACCTCTACTTCCGCATCGTACACCCCAGCTTCCCCGTCCTCCACAAAAAGGTCTTTCTTGAAAAGTACGCCCGCTCCTACCACGAGTTCTCCCCGCCCCTCCTTGCCGCCGTCTACCTCATCGCTCTCGACTGGTCCCTCTACGACCGCACCCTCGCCACCTCCTCATGGCAGCCCGACCAGGCCGCCCTCGAGGCCCTCGCCCTCCGCACAATGAGCGACGACATGAAGCGCCCAAAGATCTCAACCCTCCAGGCCGGCCTCCTCATCCAGCAGCGCTTCCGCAACAACACCTGGACCTTCACAGCGCAGCTCATCGCCCTCGCCCAGGGCCTTGGCCTCCACGTCGACTGCAGCGACTGGGCCATCCCCGAGTGGGAGAAGGGGCTGCGGCGCAGGCTGGCGTGGGCTCTGTTCATGCAGGACAAATGGGGTGCCCTCGTCCACGGCCGCCCCTCTCACATCCGTCTAGACGAGGACTGGGACGTGCGCCCGTGTCGCGTGGAAGACTTTCCTGAAACTGCCGCGGACGAAGAGTACGACCCCGAGGGCAGCGCCGAGGTCGTCGTCGGACGGGAGCTCTTCCTCCGCCAGATCGAGCTGTCCCTCATCCTGAGCGACGTGCTGGCCACCTTCTACACGGCCAAAGCCACCCGCCGCGGGGGCACCCTCGACCAGATCGGCACCGTTGGCGTCGCAGAGCTAGCAAAGCCGATAGTAATGATGCTGCGGGAATGGTACGCCAAACTCCCAGAAGCCCTGCAACTCCAAGAGACTCGTCTCAAAAAGCTCTCCGCAAACGGTACGTCTCAACCCCCCCTCCCGTCTACAACTCCCCATCCCAGGCACTAACTCCCCACAGGCTCCTTACACCTCTCCTACATCTCAATAGACCTCGCTCTCCACCGCTCACTCGTCCGCAACATCTCCTCCAACGCGCCCCCGGAGCTGCGCGCCGCCATCCGCACCGGTGCCCGCGCCCGCCTCGCAGCCGCCTCCAACATCATCTCCAACCTGCAGATGGAGCACATCCAGTCCTTCTGGGGCTTCGCCGCCTCCGCCCAGCTCGCCGGCATCGGCTCCTTCGCCGGCCTGCTCTGGGCCACCTCCGACGACGACGCCGAGGCCATGTACTACGCCGACCGCGTCGAGGAGTACCTCTGGAGCCTGCGCGTGCGCGCCCAGGCCGCGCCCTTTGCGAGGGAGGCGCTGCGCATGCTCGAGGCCGACGTCGGCGGCCTCGGCGCAGTGAGGGCCGCCGCAACGACGGGGTTACACGGGGAGATGAAGATGTGAAGAGGGAAGAAGGCAAGAAAGCAGTATTATACGGGGCGAGCCGTCACGACTCCGCAGGCTTCTCCGGGTGTTGTGTGATGTTTCGTCCGCGTACAGGAGCCTCCTGAGAGCCCCTTCTTCCAGCGCAGCTCTTCCCCGACGTCAAGCAGCGCATTAAAGGCCGGCCAGTGTACCGTTCGACCGAGGGTCTCACCACGTCGGTCGGAGAGGACGCTGGTTGCTACCGCGGTGAGCCGCCAGACGTCCTCAATCCCTGAGATCTGCTCTAGAAGGGGGGACTCTGACGAAGTTCCTGTACACGGACGAGGGAAGAAAACAGACGTAAGCTCTCCCGAGATGACGCACCCGAGACGTGACCTTAAACTCCCCTCCTCAAGCTCATGCTCGATCCGCATGCTCAGACGGTATCGCCCATACCCGAAAGTTGGCGCGGCTTGAGTCAACCCTCCTCAAGTCGCGGGTATGGTTCGTCTGGGAACGCTTGAGGAGGGGAGTTTAAGGTCACGTCTCTGGGAGGGGGGGAAGACTTCGCCAGGCGTCAAGGCTTGATAAGCAGAAGAAAGCCTGCGTCGTTGTAGACATGTCACAACACTGACCAAGGCGGTGTCCTTAAACTCCCCATCCTCAGGCTCGTGCCTCGCGTATGGGCATGCTCAGACACGTATAGTAGGCGCGTGGGACCGAAATCCGCCTGTAAGCCCCGCTTGGATTACCCCCTCTTCAAGTAGCAGGTTAGTGTATTTGGTCGATCTGAGAAAAGGCTTGAGTAGGGGAGTTTAAGGATACGCCCAAGGCCGGTGAAAGGCATGTCACTCGGCATTTTTCGATCTCAAATGGTGAAGATGGGAGAGCGACGCATATATCATGTACAAATGAATTGAATGCAATTAAGCGGGACGGGTGGCCTTATGGAGGTGGGGCTGGTCTTTTGTCTGGGATATACCCCTTAAACTACTGAAGGGATGGGGATGTTTTGGACGCTGCGGCATGTTTGATGAAAGTCCTGCGTTATTAGCACTAAGAGCGTCTTTGATATGCACATATTCCAAAAAGCTTTCTGAAAATAGATACTAGTAAATGAAAAATTGTCATTCATCACTGAGTGTAATTCATGCGTCGAAAACAGAAGATATGTGGCCGTGAGAAACAAACGCTTTTATCTACATTACAAGTAATATCTACAATGGCCATCTGTAGCGGGCCGTCTGTGTCGGTCCCTTTGGGTATCATGTGCACATAACCATCCAATTTCCCATTCCGTAATCCCGATCGTGCGGGGATTGCAGCGCTTGATGAATAAAACAACAACTCCTCAGTAGAATCCGAACGTGGTGAAGAGGCAGAAGGACGCAGCGGCAGCGACGTTGACCCAGGCAAAAGAGGCAAAGGCTGCTGCGCCAGATTGCGTGCCTGTGGACTGCGTAGCGGCTGCGGCAGACGTC